CCCCAAAGTCCATCCTTGATACTCCCTCCCTCGGGACCTCCTTGCTCTGCTTCCCCCGCTGCTCATTGTGGTGGGGTCAGCTCAGTCACACATCCCACACTGTGCCTCTGGTGCTGTCCTGGGTAGGGCCATGGGTCAGTGCAGGATGTCGCATCTCACAGTGGGGCCAGCCATATGGTCCTCTCTGTGCATTGGGCGCTCCAAGCCGGGCTATCATCCTCTGAGCTCGGTGGGCCCAGGTGTGTTCCACTCCCTTCCTCCTCCTTCATTTGCTTCAGCTTCCTTCTGGGTATTGTAGGTCAGTTCCTTTCTCACACCAGACGATCTAGTTCCATTTTCTGTGGCACTCCCTTCCATGGTGGGGGTCGGGCTGATTCTGCTTAGGGGCAGGTGTATGGTCCAGTCTTTTTGTGGATTCCTACGGGTGTTGCATTGCCCTCTTGGTTTGGTGTGTCATGGTGGGGTCCGGATGCACATTCCAGTTCTGTGGGGACACAACCAATACTCTCCCCCTGGGTGGGTTAGTGCCGTGTTTCCCCATGCCATCATCTCAGTTTCTCCCAACCCCGATTCTCCCTCCACCTTCCCGCCTTCCCCTCTTTATGTAGGACTCTCATGTACCTCCCTGGGTGTGGTCTGCTCTCCCCCCAACTATCTGTGCTTCCACCTATTTATTACGAGATAGGTGTCTATTCTTCTATTCCTGCCGAAACGGCTAATTTTTATGGGAGTAGAAAGCATCATCTTTCTCCTGCTGAGCCGCTGGTGAGTTTGAACTGCTGACCTAGCACTTATCAGCTCAATGCACAACTGCTAGGCCAGCGGGGCTCCTGCAGAGCAGCAGGAGAACTCCAAAATCGTATGATTTGTTAATATTTATATTTATCTTTCAACTTGAACACCTAATTAGAAACAATATATTAATAATGTTTTACACAAATTGTCTTTGCAACTCTTACTTGAAGGGCAAATATTTCTTTTCAATCGTGTGAATTCATGAAATCAAACAAGTGATTTCATGTCGCTACATTCAACTTGCAATAGAATTCCAAGCTATAAACTTTTATTTTTATAAAGACGGGGATAAAATACATTTATTTGAGAGACTTTAGCTGCATATGATTCAATTTTTTATACATCCTGGGGCTAATTTTAAAACTCCTCCACCCTGGTTTGGAATGTAGACTGCTCAATTGACTTATGGCACAAGGGTTTGCTTCAGCTGGGTTGTTTACTCATCTGATCAGCACTCCACTTATTTACCTGCTTTCAGAATCGTTTTTCAGTCTGTCATTACACTTAAGATGCAAGTTTGGCCCCTCATCCAGAAAATTGGATTGGGTTTTATGTACTTTATGAACTGTATGCATTTTAAAGACAGCTTATTTCTTCTGCCAAGTGACACACTATAAAAGCCTCATTGTGCCATTTAGCTGGGACATGCCTTGAGAGAACAAGATAATTTTTATACTTACCTCAAAATAGGATAAAATAAAAAAGCAGTATACAATGAAATGTTTTATTTCTAAAAACATTATTTCACACAGTTTTATTTCACTTGGGCATTGTCATTTTACATGCCTGTGATTATTTCCCTTATTAATGTTGATAACCACATGTCAACAATGAAATCGGGATGATATGAAATTAATACCAATTTACCATGCAGTAAGTATTTAATTGATCTTAATGATGAAGATTGATACATTATTAATGAAAGTGATTGTTATCAGTCTTCAAGGAAGCCAAGTTGACTGACCCCACTGTATTGGATTAAATTAGACTGTGACATATAACTCCCTGCCATTAAGTTGATTTCCATTTACAGTGAACCTAAAGAGCAGAGTAGCACCTTCCTTTGGGTTTTCCAAGGAGGAGTTTATATCTGTGGAGGAGCAGAAAGCCCCATCTTCCTCCCATGTAGGAGCCTGTGTGGTGGTTCTCAAAATTGGGTGCACACGAAAAAAATCCGGAGAGTTTTGAAAGCAGACCGTTGTTTGATGTGTGTCCAATATATTTACAAGCTCTGCAGGGAGTTCTAAACGTCCAGCTGGAGTTGAGAGCCACTGTTGATGGTACCTCTACTGGAATAAACTTTCCTCCTACTTAGAAAATTCCTTCAGCCTTTTGGAGAAGCATGTCTTACATCTGAAATCCATCTTAATGCCTGGTAATAAGGAAATCTCTATCAGGGAGGCATACTAGTAGAACTAAATCAAGGCACAAGTTGGCTTGGCTAAGTGGGATCAGAGCTAGAAATGTACCTTTAATTACAGTATTAACCCAGTCATTCGCGTGTTCCTAGGGGCTCAGGTGCCTTAATTCTTACCAAACTTAAATGTGCATAGCAAGAATTCAGGGGGATTGTGAAAATATTCTTAATCCATTAGTCTGCGATAGCTCTGAGATCTGTATTTCTTATAAGTTC